ACCCTTTTAGCTAGCGTTAATCAGCCTTTTAGCACAGATATGGACAACTTGACTTTCAAATGCTAATGAGGCTGTCCCTTGAGATTTTTATGGGCAGAGACAACACGGGTGATTTCTGGAACTCGGGAGGGAATCCTGGGCCTGATGCTAACAGACCCCTGGCTTGTGTCTCTTCTCAGATGGGAACTCCCACGCATGTTTAGGGCGTGGGTAACAACTGATAAGGAAGCCCTTCACCCCTCATGTCTGCTCACCACTGAAGTAGAGCTGCCAGGTTCAGCACATAACAATGCAGGATGCCTCGTTAACCTTGAGCTCCAGATAAACAATGGATAATTGAAGTGTAGTATCTGTATAACGCTTCAGGGTATTTTCAGCCATGGCAGTGTACAGTGAAATACTCCCGTGAAAAAAGACTGTTAGGCCTGGATTGACGAGGTTAGGAGGGACCCCCAAGGTCCAAAGGAATGCAGGGTTGGAGAATTCTTTGGGTAACTGGGCTGGGGAGCGGCCATTTTTGGCCTCACTTCCATCGTCTGTTCTGCCATGCCACCATCGTGATGGTCATGCCACACCCTCAGGATTATATCCGCCTCCACTCTCTTCTTACCTGCTGACAACTGAAAGCAAAAACCTTAGAGGTAAGGCTGAGCCACGACATCTGTCAGGAAACCGTTTTTGAACATTTACGGTGTGTGGAACACTGCACCCATGCTGGGTGGTCAGAGGTGTATGTTTGCTCTCCGATTACCTTCTGCTGTGGTGTATAGTAGTAATTAGGCACCCCTCTGTGTACAGAGCTCTCCCCCAGGCTCTGCGCTCATGGGGACAAAAGCAACGGAAAACACAGCGCATGCATATTCCTCTTGGGGCAGCCGAGAGCATAGGCTTTCATTAACTCAGAGTTGGTGTTATCGCCAGGGCCTCCCTCTGATGTCACAGTGTGTGTGCCTCTTCATGGGTGGGTACGTAGATATTGCAACAGTCATCACCTGAGGTGTGCGGAGCCTCACACCCTGCTGGCCTTGAGAGTGATCAGTGGCAAGTCTGTTGGGGGTCATGGCTTGTGGCCTTGGAATGAAGGGAACCAAGCTCATGGCTTATTTGGGAACCAAACACGGTGGCCTTGATATTTGTAGTAACACACTGGACTAAGGAACGGTGGAGCTGTCCAGGACTCAGAAGACATTGGATGCCACGATGGCTTTGCTATCAGAAGAGAACTGACTTTAACTCCTGGTCTTGCTACTTATGAGCAATTTCACTTTTCCTGAGCCTCAATGTCCTCTTCTGTGAAATGGAGACAGTAGTAATATGAGGAAATTTTTGAGGAGCTCGTCAGATAACGTATTTGAAAATGCAAGGTAGTAAGCACTGTATTTGTCATTGCAGTGTTTCTCATCCTCTTAAGACTTTGTAAACTCCTCTGTTATGACACTCTTCATGGTGAATTATAATTATTTCATTTCTATGTCTGTCTACTTCCCCTAGACTGAGGGCCGGGGCCTTTTACTACTGTTCACTTGCCCACGCCTCCCGCCTCTGGTCTGCTATATCCGAGGCGCCGAGTTGTGTTGAGCTGTAGACGCTTCAGTACTTGGCTTTTGCTGGGAGACAAGCCTTTACATTTTGAGTCTCTCTCTCTCTCTCTCTCTCTCTCTCTCTCTCACTCTCTCTCTCTCTCTCTCTCTCTCTCTCCTACTGAAGACCCGGCAGATCCCGTCTTGTGGGATCTGCTTGAGAGCAGGAGTCTTAGGACTCTGACTAAAATGCTCAAGGAGATTTCCAGTTCGCTCCTGTGTGCTCAAACAGACGTGTGTCTGAGTAGCATCCCTGCTGGTCTACTTGCTCTTTTCATTGGTAAGTTCTAGGATTTCCGTGATATTTCTGTTTGTTTGATCTCTGCATCATCACATGTATTACTTTCCTCAGTGCAGTTTGATCCCCCACACATCCCTTGAGCACCTCTTACTTTGTCACACCCTGGGCTGGGTGCGGGGGACATAGAGACAAGGAAGATAATATGTCCACTTGAGGCGTTTCAGATCTCCCTGGGGGGACAGAGGAGAAAACAGAATTCTCTAGGATGCAGTAAGGGCAGTGATGGCGGTAGGCACAGAATTTTATGGGCGCACAGGGCAGGGCCCTTTTACTCAGTTATCTTTTCTCCCTAAGAGTCCCATTGCCCCCACTTCTAACAGGCGGGCGGGGGAGCCAAGTTGTAATTCCTGCCCTCAAGGACGATTTGAACACTGGGCGTTAGGAAGCAGCCAGTGGCTGGTGTGTATCAGTTACAGGCCCCGTTGACAGCCCTCCTGCACTGGATGAAATTAAATTTCCAAGGTGGGTGGATGGGGCGGGGGAGGGGCGTAGGGAGACACGGGGCCACAGGCCTAATGGGCCTGGCCGGAGTTTGCGGGGGCTTGGAGGATTTGGGGAGCAGGTTGGTTCAGCCAAGGGCTGGCTACACACGGCCCCTGCAACAAATATCATATTTTTGCTTCACTCTTTCAGGCTAGCTTTACTTTTATCCTCTTTCCCGTGGGTGTTTTCTTATTTTGCTGACATGTGCTTCTCCACCCGTTTTCATTTCTTCTTATTTCCCCTCTTGTTTTCATCTCGGCGTTTCCTTTTTGCCTGCTCGCCTTTAAATTTTGTTTCTGCCCCAACCTCCATGTTCTGAAACGTACCTTGTTCAACGCAGGGTTGGGGAGGAACTTTTCATTTGCAACCGCCCTTGTTGTGTTGTGAAAGAGCATCTCATGTGTACCTGGGTATCCTAGGAAACAGAACTCTGGTTTCTGAATGGGACAGATTCTCCCTGCTGTGTTTGTAAGACAGAAGCCAAGGGGCAGCAGGGACTCCCCTCCATGTGTACCCCAGAAGACTCGGGGCCCAGTGCTCCCTCCTCTGTTAGCAGGATCAGTGGAACACTGACCCCATTTCCTGCCGCCCTGGTTGTCCCTCACTACACCTATGCTTGAAGTTTCTTTTTACCTCTCTCCTCTTTCCTTGAATTTTTTTTTCTATTACTGTCCTAATTTTCAGTCCTGTTTTACATGTTTCTCCTTGATCTCTCTTCTCTTCAGCTTTTCCTTACTCATTAGAAATTATATCACTCCCCTTCCTAATTTCACTGTGGAAGATAGAGTCAGAAGCAGTGTCAGAGGCTCCCTCCCCCAAGTCCCCCCGCTTTTCAGATGAGGGCATGGAAGTCGGGGTTGGGAGACACAGAGAAAACTTGGGAATCTTGCCTTGCTTCTGAAATTCTTTATGAGAAGTAGGATTTCTTTCCTGTTCTTATGTAGAGGTTGGATTAACATAGAATTACAGGATCTTAAAGTTCAAAGAAATCTCTATTGGTCATTTAAATAAATAACCTTTAACCCAAGTAGAGACCCTCTTAACTCCCTAATAGATAGTGCTACAGTCTATCTGGCGTACTCTTAATGTTAGGAAGCGTGCCCCCACATGGAGCAGTCCTATTTGTTGTTGGCCAGCTCGACTTGTGTCAGAGTTTTTATTCATGATTACGATGTCCTGAATCTGTGTACTTTGTACCTGTTGACCCTATAGCTGTTTCCTAGAGATATGCAGCATAAACCTTTCATTCACGTTCTCTTTCAAGCACTGAAGGCACTTCAGGTATCTGCTTCAATCCTTGAAATATTTCACAGAGTTTCCACCAAAAATAATTAAGTGAAATGAGGTATTCTTGGCACCCTTTGACTATACAGTAAAACCTTGTATTGCGAGTAACTTGGTTTGCGAGTATTCTGCAAGATGGGCAAACATTTCTAATACATTTTAACTTGGTAAATGAGCGATGTCTTGCAATACGCACAGTTTGTTCCCAGAATGAATTGTGCTCGCAGACCAAGGTATTACTGTATAGAAAACAGTTTTCCGAATGGCTCATTCCTTAATAGTTCCAGATAGCTGAAACTGCTGGAGTGGCGCAGAGGGAGAACAGGGAACTATGCCACAGAAAGAAGACTAAAAATTAGACAAAGCAAAAAAACCAATTTTATTAATACTTGTAACATCTATTTTGCACATTATAGTTTACAGAACACTCTGACTATTCCATGCCATGTCACTTTGTTTTTCTCACTAGGCCTTGGTACTTCACGGTTCTGTAGAGGAGGGTAGCGAGGCTCATGGATTTCAGTAACTTGCCTCAAGTCACCCCGTTCTCAAGTGCGTGAGTTAGGACTGGAACTCAGTTCTTTTGACTCTCCATCTCCTGCTGTGCTTTTCATTAAAACCTAAGTGGCTTTGTCTCTCCAAAACATCTGCAATGACATGGAGTTATGGGAAATAAATTTTCTCCTCTAGGCAAGGTACGCCGTGTTCACAAATAGGATTGTTAGGGATTTGTTGTGTGTGTGTGTGTGTGTGTGTGTGTGTGTGTGTGTGTGTGTATGCGTTTCTGGATATGATGGTAGAAGGTGGGAAAAATGGAAGCAAAAAACCAAATCCAGGTCACACAGTGATTTTGGACAATTAGAAAAATATAAATATTGCCTGGGACCAGGGAACTGAGACCCTAGTTATAAGCTTCAGTGTGATTGATTTGCTTGGCAAAACTTCTGAGTGTCAAGGTGGAGAACAGTTGAATTGCTCCTTTATTATAGTCAATACAGAGAAGTTTCCTGAAGGAAATAGGAGACAGGGGAATCTAAGAAAATTTTTGGGAAAAAAAAAATGGGAAGGCCTTGGTTGGATTGGAAAGCAAGGAAAAAGAGGCTGGCAAGGGGCCGAGAGGAGTCTGCCTCATGATTTGGAGCTAGGATTCTGATATAAGTTTTCCTTCTTTGTAAAGTGAAACCCAGATGTGCTGAATTTAATTCCACTTGGAACCACTGGTAATTTACCCCAGCTTGGATGTGCCCACACGCAGCTGGCATCAAGTGTGTGTGCTTTCCAGGCTGATTATTCATGGGGCGGGGGAGAAACCAGACCCTGGTAACCTTGACCTTCTGTGTCTCCATCTGCAGCATCCTGGCCACTGCAGGAACTCACTTCAACACACACGTGGACCTGAGGACCCTCCGGGCTGTGCGTGTCCTGAGGCCCCTGAAGCTCGTGTCAGGGATACCTAGTGAGCACCCCTTTCTTCTTTCTACCCTGCCAATAGCTTTCCGGAAGTGTCCTCAGCTGGATCCGGGGCCTAAGAGATTTGGGGATAAACATGAAACAGTTTATCCTGGGAGGAAGCCCCAGTGGAACTAAGGAGTGGGCTTGCAGAATGTGGCATGACTGTTTATTTTAAAATTCAGCAGCTTTTTTTTTTTCATATTTAAACTACATGGAAAGATCTTTATAGAAAATTTGAAAAGTAACAAAAATGATGTAAAATGAAAAGCGCTCAATGTCCTTCCACTCAGAAATAACCTTTGTTAACACATTTTTGTTTAGTATATTTTTTCATTCATTTTTTTCGTGTGCATTTTAATATCATTGCGATCGTACTGCATATATAGTTATAGATCCCATCATAAGCATTTGATTTTCCTGACATTAAAAAAACATTTCAAAAATGTGATTTTAAAATCTGTATTGTAGTCTGTCTTACATGGGCCATGACTTCTTTAGCTATTGCTGTGCTGCTGGTCGTTTGGGTTATTTCCAGTTTTTTCCTCCCAACGAGAAACAGTGCTGCAACAAGCATCGTTTCACTTAGATCTTATGCACATCTCTGATTATTTTCTTGGGCTAGCGTCCTAGAAGTGCAATTTCTGGGTCAGCAGATACGGTATTTTATGAGTAGCGGTTGTACTAAAAATGCTCTTGCAACACTGGCTGGGAGAGCTGGGTCCCAGGTGGGGAAGACAACCTTCGTCCTTGCTTTAGGACTTCCTTTAGGAAAGAAGCCCCTTCTAATCAGTTGAACTCATAAAAGGAATCCGTAAGACAACATCGGTGAAACAAATGAGGGAAGGGTAATAGGCGTGTAGGTCAGGAGGACAGGATCGGTCCCCGGGGGAAGCAGTGACGGCAAACTTAGGCTTGACTTGTCCTGGTGTCCGCTTTGCAAACTGTCTCTGTCACCTCAGGACCATTGGTTCTTTCTTCCTGAAGGACTTGTCCTTCTCCTCCTGGGAGAGGGGAGACTGAGCCTGCTCCATCAGGCGGTGCTAAGTGAGGCTCCATCTGTCATTCTCTTCCCTTCCACCCAGGCCTGCAGATTGTGCTGAAGTCCATCATGAAGGCCATGGTGCCTCTTCTGCAAATCGGCCTCCTGCTCTTCTTTGCCATCCTGATGTTTGCCATCATCGGCTTGGAGTTCTACAGCGGGAAGTTGCACCGCGCATGCTTCACGAACAATTCAGGTAGGGTCACTGCTGTTTCTTCTGTTTCTTCTCTTCTTCTCCCCTTGGGTCACTGAGTTAATTTCAGGGCATTCAGAGACGGCTTGGAAAAGCATGTCCTACCCCAACCCTAGAATTAGCACCAAAAACCTCCTCGTCCGCAGCCTAAAGATTGGCATTGGCCACTGATACTGCAGAGCAAATAATCTCTTCGGTTTGCCGTTGGAGGATTTCAAATAGGAGGTCTCAGCTTCGCCATCCCTTAGTAGAAGGCTCTCTGAATGCAGGTGAAAACCCACCTGTCTGAAGAAATACCATTTGTACAGTGGCCTCTTTGGCCCACGGGTAACTAAGACCTAGGAATCCAGAGTCAAGACTGGGGTCCTCTTAGATATGTGGACACATTTTTCCTTCAGGGTCCATCTCTTGACCTGCGTCCCTCTTTGCTGTGACCTACGCATAGTGTGGAAAACTGAGGGGGCTCTCAGCTTGGCTTGGCGGGGTGCTTGGGAGATCGGTGGGGTGCACAAACGCCCGATTCTTTCCTCTTTGTATCTCATTTCTTCTCAAGTTGAGAAGACGGGAAGCGGGGAAGAAGCCCAATTAGGCCCCATGTTTTTGTTTGTTTTTTGTTTTTTTAATGAAAAGAATCTTCAAAGGAGACCTTCCACCTTGGATTTTTATTTTTTATTTTTGTCTTTTATTCAAGACCAGGCATTTAGGCCAGAAAAAGATTTTTAAAAAGGCATTAAGACTCACCGAAGGGACTGTAGTTTATAATTGTCCCCAAGAAACCTAGAAAGAACTCAGGGTCTATCCTGGAGTCTGAAGTAGAGGAAATCAGTGAGGTTCTGCCTTCACCGCAGACCGTTCTGCGTGGCTCAGCCCTGTAAATTGCTGGTGCTTCAGTGGGGGGAGAGGGTGTGGGTGTGGCCTGCAGGCCGTGAGGAGCCACCTGGAGTGCAGGAGAGGCTGCGTTTTCAGAGGAGACAGGGAAGCACTGCGTTGAAGTTGGTATGGAATTGTAGGGAGGCCAGGGAGGGGAGGGAGCCAGAGACAAAGAAGGACAAATCTTTCTATGGGAAACAGGATTGCATGCTCGTGGCTTCCTGGGGTCATTCCCAGGCCCGTGCTAAATACCATGTGGTTTATCTCCCACCCTCCAAACATGTCCGCAGGTATTCTAGAAGGCTTTGACCCCCCTCACCCGTGTGGCGTGCAGGGCTGCCCAGCTGGTTATGAATGCAAGGACTGGATCGGCCCCAACGATGGGATCACCCAGTTCGATAACATCCTTTTTGCTGTGCTGACTGTCTTCCAGTGCATCACCATGGAAGGGTGGACCACCGTGCTGTACAATGTAAGGAGAGCTGGCGAGGGGCGGGAGGAGGAGGGCAGAAATGCGCAGTGAGGCTCCTGGCATTGTTTGGACTGGTTGGTCTGCGGAAAGGGAAGGCAGGGGATATGTGTGTGCATGTGCGTGTGTGCGCATGCATACGTACTCAGCCGTGGGAAATCTTAGCAGTTCCCATCCCTCCCTTGTCTGGCCTTGCTCAGAGAAAGTACACAGCTGCTAAATACAATTAGGAAATTGCATCCCATACTGGGTGTGTGAACGGCTAGTAAAATCAGATCAACCCAGCAGTTGCAGAGTATGTCCTGTGGCAGGTTTGATGGGGTGGTGGGATTCAGTGAGGGGTGCCAAGAGGTATAGAATTTTTGGTTACTGTCTTCTAAGAGCTTACCACTGGTTTGGGGAGATACTACAGTAGTTCTCAACCCTGGCTGCACATTAGAATTGGCTGGGAGCTTCAAAAAGTCACACCTCCTGGGCTCCATGCCAGACAAATTAAGTAGGAATAGCGAGGGGCAAAGGCCTGTCATTGACTTTTTTCTAAAGCTTCCTAGCTGGTTCTATTGTAATATTCAGTTACGGTCATAAACTGCTGCATTATAAGCACATATGAAACATGCTTAATTGTAAGATTCACTAAGGATGTGGGTGAAAACTTCAGATTCACAGGCCTTTTCTGTGCATGTTTGGATTTTGTGTTGCTTTGAATAGTTGGTGAGCTGTATTTTGTGCAGGGGCCCCTGGTGAGTCATATGATCAGGCATATTTGCAAGGTTCTGAGCTGGGGCATAAGACATGACTATCCAACTGCCTGGTAGGGATGTTAGGGGATTCCTGCGTGGGGACAGAAGTTAGACAGGTGACCACTGAAGGCCCTTCCACCTCCTGGAGTCTAATTTTAACAAGTTTTGAAAGACATGGTGCAGCGTCTCAGTTCTAAAATAAGAAGGGTGTGTTGGGGGCTGGTGGTTTGATGCATGAGGAGCCTAGGTGGACAAAGCCATTCAGGCAGGTTGCCCTTGTGAACAGATTTTTACAAAGGTCTGTATCCTCATATGGTCATATGCATCCACCCAGCCCAGAAACCTTTGGAATGATCATTCCTCTTACCTGCACTCCCATAGCCTGCCTTTACCCTAAGGTGCCCTCTGTTTCCTTTTAACCTGATTCCATCTGCATAAAACATAAGAGGTGGGGCACAGGGTGGCTTATACAAAGCCCGCTTTAGAAGGAGCTCTGGATATAATCTGTACTGGAGGGAAAGGAAATGCAATTTCTCTGGAGATGCTAAACCAGATTGTACTGCCTGAGTAGCCAGGGTTTGCATAAAGCCTGTACAAGTAGGTGCTAGTAAATGTTCGTTGCTAACCTGGATGCATCTCCATACAGGTTGAGCAAGGCGGGACAGAGCTTTGCAGAAAAGAGCCACGGCTGTTATCTTCAAGTTCTAAAGGGCAGTGAAGTCCCAAGGACCACCTTATGCCTCGCAAGCCCAGGGGTTATGTGTGACCTAGAAAAACCTGAAAGACCCTCTGGGATTCTCACCAGTTGTGGTGGGGTGGCAGAAAGGAAGGAAGGGAGGCAAGATTGATGAGAGCAGTCACTCTTCATTAGATGTAAAGGATGCCTCGAGGCCATGTCACTCAGAGTAGCCAAGTGCCTCTGGAAATTAGAACACTGGCCCCACAGTGGCTGGTGTCATTTGTGGGGCTGTGGGAGTGATGTCTTTCAATTATATGTGTAGACTCACCTAAGTGATGTGATAAATGCATGGAAAGCCTGAAAAGCGAAGTGCTGCTTTTGAAGATATAGGCGTGATCTGTTGGTCCTCCCAGGCCAAGGCTCAGATGGTACGGAGACAGCAGGAACACAGCTGAAGGGTCACTCGTCGCTTGTGTTAGTCCTCCTCCCTTCCTTCTTCCTTCCCTCCTTCCCTCCCGCCCCCTCTCTCTCTTCCTTGTATCTTAAGTGAGCATCATGGTGCTCTCTTCAAATTCTCATTTCTCTCCAGTTAGCCAACCAACGTGGGTATGGAGATCACATGAAAGGACAGTGACCTTGCCCTTCTCTTTAGATTTTTGCCCCTGAGGAAGCAGGGAGGAGAAGAGGTCAAGCCGCAGATCCTCTGAAACGTTTCATTGCCTGGGCTTCCAGGGCCTCATCCTCACTTCCCCTGACTGTCAGTGTCTCAGTCCCTGAACTTCAGTTTACTGAACTTTTCCTGCTACCCTTGTGACAGGATCCAGGGTTGAGGGAACTAGTTTGAGCTGTAGGGCTGGTTTCTAAACACTGGCTGTCTGCTCATGGGCAGAATGACCCCATGTGCTCTTGGAAATGACACCACTTTCCAAAGCATGCGCCCCAGGGGCAGGGCATGGAGCCAGGAGTGCACAGCAGAGGTGAGAGTCATCGTGAGGTGGATGACTACACCTCGATTCAGGAGAGGTTGCATGGAAAAGGCACCCAATTTGCAGCCGGTGGCACAAGGACAAAGTCTAGCTCCCTAGGAAGAGAGGGAGCCAGCAAAGGCTGGGCTTCCGTTGAGCAGGGAACTGGGGTGTGAAGCATGATCCCGGCAGAGCTCTCCTACAGGACGTAGACACATGTCCTAGAGGTAGGATTGTCTGCACTGGAGGAGTGGGTTCAGTGTAGCAAACTCTTCATGGTGTCAGGCACGGGGCTTGCAGTATATGGTGGAGACACATCATACAAGCTTTTAATTTACCCAGATGCAAACATTCAACTTGGATAGGCCAGAGGGTCGGGGAGAGGGAGGAAAATGGTTTAAAGAGTACAGACTAATTTACCTACCATTCTTTTCCATGTGCCTTTGTCCACAAAAGTGTGAGATTGGAGATGCTTAGGATCTTGGCTGAAAAATTGCCAATCCTGGTAGCCCATGTCAGTACTATCTGGGTTTTTAAAAAAATTTTAACTCATGACTTTGTAATGCCCAAATTTTGCACATAGATGAGAACTGGTTGCAACTGATGGAATTAACAATGAACGAGTCAACTTAGTATGATAAATACACGTATGCATGTATGTATGTTTCTGCACAGAGAGGACTCGCTCACTCTGCCGTTGTCACCACCACCACTAATAGGATGCATATGTCACTGTTGATTTCCGTTTCTACTACTCATTCTGGGAAGGCCCAATCATCCAGCTGCTGTATTTCTTCACACAGGCCACAGGGAAAAGGGGAGCCCCTGTTTCCCAGTCCAACACCCCTTCTATTCAGTGGTGGCAACAAATATGTAAGAGTTATTGGCACCAGTTATGCCTACACCAGTAGGAGAACCTTCAGGTTTACCCTGCACACAGACACCCTCTCAAGCATGCGGACTCAGTTTAACTTTTTTATATACAACTTCAGTGCCCCCTAGGGTTTGCATCCCTTATCTGCTGCACAGACTCTTCCAAAAGGCCTCCTGTGACCTTTTGGTGCTCTGCCATTGATGACTGTTAACTTCATTTGCATGTAGCTTTTCTTGTTATAATGCATTATTGTTGTAAGGGGGCGGTTCCATTGTCAGGGCAACCAGGAGCCCTGCATGCCGCATGCGCTCTCCACCAAAACTTCAACTCTGCTTGGTCAAACTCCAGCTGTATTCTTGGCTCCCCTCCCTCTTGTGGTGGAAAGAATGCAAAGCAGGCTGTGGCTCTGCAGGCTGCTGCTTCCTGTTTTGATGGCCTCTCCAAAGGCCTTCAATTTGCAAACTCTTCCCTGTTCTTACGGGTTTCATTCATATATTTCTCCTAATCTGGGTAGGTGTTCCTTCTCACTACAATATGTTCTCCCTCTGATCAGTGCTGCTCACTCTACAAATCTGACTGTGGCTCAGGCGTGAACCTCTGACCACCCCCTCACCTGGTCTGGGTGTGACTCCGAGAACTGGCTTTTTCCTGGTTCCTGTCTTATTTCTCTTGTCAATCTGGGTTTGTGTCATCTGCTGTTTCTGTTGTGAGGACTAATATAAAGGTTGCTGAGGTTCCCTGTCTCTGTTTGCAATTTCTCTAACCTGTGCTCTTCAAGTCCAGTATATTTTCATCGGTATTTGTGCAGCTCAATCTGTTTCTCTTCTCGCTTGGTGTTGATAAACGTATGCAGATTCAGACATTTCTTGGAGGCCAGCTTGGCAGGTATGCCAGCTGAATCTGTTATGATTGCCTAGGAAGCTCTGTGCTGCTGTGGTGGGAGAGATTTTTATAGACTTTACTGGCTCTTGGCAAGAAGAGGCAACTTGTAGTCTGGATGCTTTCTGAGAGCCTTCCCGACTCCTCAGAAGACCTTTGGTCTGTACCATGCCTCTTGCTCTCTTTCAAGTTGCCTTCTCCCAGCTGCACATGGTTAATATCGGTTAAGTGGTTGGTAGCTACTCAGTTTTGCCTTGTTGACAGTTTGCTTATGTGTGTCATGCATAAGCACATTGAAAGAATAAGACCATAGCCCAGGGTCGATGAAAAACTGCCATGTCCAGCTTCCTGAAGCCTCTCGAATGTTATGGTATCTAGAACGCTTTTGGTTCTGGGGACCGTGAGACTAGGGAATGTGCTGACTCATCTTTACTTCAGCCTCCCCTCCCCGACCTCCTCCACATGGCCCTGGGAGCAGAGCATACTCAAAACTCACTTGACAAATAGGGGGTGGGAACCTTCCACCATCTTACGGTGCTACAGCGATAAGGAGCACCAGCTGACCTAGGGTCAGGTAGATAGTTGGTAAAATTTATATGCTCCTTTATCCAGGATCAGTCCTGCTCTGCAATAGGCTGTTTTGTTTCCCCACATTCCTGCCTGCCTTGCCCTATTCTTGTATCCTTGCAGGTGTCTGGGACCCTGTAATACAGATGACACTTGGAAACTGATATCAATGTCTGTTCACCTGTGGCTTGTCTTAGACACAGAGGGGCTGATAACTAGATCCTGGAAATTAGTCTGCTTCCTCTCCCAGGAAGGCTGAGAGGTTAAGTAGGTTGAGAAGAAGGTTAAGAATTGAGTTT